TTGAACTTAATTAATTTTTATTCTTCTCTGTTGTTGTTAAGCGCCTCGAGGTTGTGTCAACGTGAGGCGCTATATAAATCCAGAATTATTATTATTATTATTATAAGTAAAAGTATTATGACCTTTCTGTAACTAAAAAATATACAATACTGCCACATTTATATGCTAATTACACAGTTTAACAACAAGCAACAATTTTATGATAGACAAGCCTAATTTTTGCATAATACTGTTCATCCAATCTATTCACCTGCAGTGAATTTTAAGCATTTACTTGGGAAAAAGTTACTAAATCAGTAAAACTTGAAATTGTTTTGGTCTGTCTCCTTCCAAGTTGATATTGATTCTAAAAATAATGAGCAATTGATGTTTGAAAGTTTTCTAGATTTTACCCAAGACAGTTTGTAAGAATATTCTGGACAAATCATTGATATAAATCAAAAAGCATTTTATGCAGCCTCCGAGTAATTGACCTTATTTCATGTGACCTACTGTATCTACTAATGCTACTGAAGCTGGTTTAGAACATGTAAGAGGATTATAAAAAAAAAAAATCAGTCCATTTGAAAGATGACATAGTGAGCTAGAGTAATTAGGAGCGGTTTGGTGCAGCGGTTGCGGTTGGATTGGATTGGATTTATTCAGTGTGAACACCAAGTCTAAAAGACTTACTTCCAGTGGGATCCTTCTGGTGGTGATTGGGCAGTACACCGGGATACAATCCCCTACTCCTTTCTGAAGAGTATACTGCATTCTTTAACATTCACATGGGCCATAAATGCACATGGGACCAACGGCTTAAACGTCTCATCCGAAAGACGGTGTGCTATTGTAACTTGTTTTTCAGCCCTCTAGCTGAAACACAAGGAGAGGCAGTGATGGGAATTGAACCGGGGACCTAGAGATCTCCACGGTTCAGCACACACACAGTGGCTACCACCAGATTAGCTTACTGAGCTAAGCTGCTCTCAACCTTGTGGTCAGTCAATCCTTCGTGTGTATTTCGCTTGTGTCCTAAGGCAAGGCATTTTACCTACAGTTGTCTCTCTCCACCCAGGAGTACAAGTGGGTAACTGGTAGACTCAAACACAAAATGCGCTGATTAGAGCTGCAACATTATGGAATTCTCCCCAGGAACCTGAGTATATGTTCCATATGTGCTTGATCCAATGACCGGGGTAATAATTTTAAGTGCACAGAGGTGTCGATCATAATTATTATAAATGAGAAATCTGCCATAAAGATACGGTTATAAAACCTAAAAAAAAAAAATCCTAAAAAATTAAATTACATCATTATAAACTATAGCTTAAAAAGATTAAATATTCAATTATTAGCTCCATACCTACAGTGTGTTATGCTTCCTTCCATTTACCAAAATACACTTTCTTTAATGTATTATAAAACAAAAATAAATAAATATATTGATTTAGTAGATTAAATAATGTAGGAAACTTAAAAGACTTACTTCATGGCTGCATCGTAATGTTCTTGTGTGGTTGAAAGCATCTGAATTTAATGGATCAACAAGACTGTCTTCCTCCAGCCCTTGAAGTTCCACACTCAAAATAAATTTTTTTTCTATGTTTTCCCCTGCAGAAAAAATTGAGAAAATAATCAACATCATGTTAAAAAAAAACTCACAGTAGGGTTACAGTTAAGGCCATTAACAGGGATGGAAAAAGTGTGAATATGTCACTAACAATGTAGAAAGCAATGCACAATTTCCCTGGAGAAATTTAACTTTAATTCACAGATAATCATGTTTGTTGCTGGGCAAGCATATATATAAAATTGTTTTCTTCAGGTTTTGCCACAATGGACAGTAATGCTTTTAGCAGTGCACAGTCTGTGGAAAAATCTAAAGAAATAAAATCAATGAAAAAGAAAAAATGAAATGTCAAATAAATAATCATACATATTTTAAAGTTTCACTGCTGTTATTAAAATTATCATTATCATCTTATTGAAGCAATACATAATTTGATGTCAATAACTGAGAATTATGGAAATTACCCGAGCCCAGCATGTTGCTGATCAGAGAGCCTACGTGCACCCTGGGTGATAGTGACGCTGTTTTCGTTAATGGCCTGTCCTTTTTTCTGCTCATATTTAATAAAATGAATCTTGCATTGTTGTGAAATATTTTTTAATTATTAATAAAATGACTTATAAAAAATTTCAATTCAACTTATCTTATGTTTTTTTTGTTATAGTTAAGTGTAGTGTGATTTGAAGTGCACTGTTGTGAGCATCTTTACACATGGAAAGGCACACAACAAACTTTCCTTTTTATCATTACTATGTTGTGTTCTACATATGGCACAACACTGCACTAAGTCTGACATTTTATAATAATGATGAAAAAATTGTTCCTAAGTCAATTTATTTCTCTACATTAGCTAGCATACTAGGAAAATTATTTTGGTCCTCCTGAGATCGGTGAACAGAATCCAATCCAAAATGCCAACACAGTCTTGTTGCATGCTTAAGGCCTGGCTTCTACTTTATAAACTCGCACAATTTAATATTCATGTTTGCCAAACAACACTACTGTACACCTACACAAATAATGCTTAATATAAACCTGAATTCAACAACTTTTTCTTTATTAGATATTAAATAATTTATATCAGCCTGAAATGTCACTGTGCCCTTTACAATATTTTTTTTCTCAAATTATTAAATATTTTTCTGATAACCTGTAATATATGTATGACTTTTACAGTAATTTAATTGAATTATTCATTTTTGAAATGACTGTTTCATCCCACACATACAGGGTGTAATTGCTTTTACGCCATAACCCAATTTCTTTTCTTTTTATAATCTTTTACAGTAAGACTACAGTACTGTACAGTACACAGTACAATAATAATTGAGAAGGTGATGGAATTTAATCATAGGAGACAAAATAATAAACAAATATTTGTTTTAAATTTATAATTAATATTTTCCCATGATGACAGTAATAATAACAATAATAATAATAATAATAATAATAATAATAATAATATTATTATATTATTATTATTATTATTATTATTATTACAACAACAACATCATCAGTAGTAATAATAAGACTTATAAAGCACATATCAACTTCAGTGCTCAAGGAGGTAAGTAACAGTGGCATTTCTCTCCACTTTTGTTTATACTATATCTACTGTATGGACGTCGATGCAATTTTGATTTATTTTTATAGGCCAATGATGATTTTAGTTATATACTTTGTTTATTGAAAAATATACTGCAACACACTTAAGTCAAGATAAAATCTTATAAATTTAAACTAAGAATTTGAATACTTACAATTGTTAAAAGATGTATATCTACTAAAAATAAGTTAAAAATTGAAAAGAACTCTGATGTTCACTATAACAATTTGTAGGCTGCAAGAAATTTACTGTAAGGTTGTGAAGACTATAACAATGGTAATTTATTTAAAATTGCTATTATTCAAGGAAATTATATTTCTTTTTGACAAATTTTAGCTAATGAAGTAAAAAATTATTTTATATACTATTATTATTAAATATAGATAATCATTATTAATGTTTAGAACTATGCTATATAAAATAAAGGTAAAGAAATATTTAAAATTGAGTGAGAATTGCATTCACGTTGTGAAGAAATATAGTTGTTTTGTTAAATACTCCTTGAGAAAGAACAATTAATAGAAGCCATAAAAAAGCTGCCTGTTGGACATGATATTATTATTAGCTACGCGTGCACCTTTGATCAATATTCTGTGCGGAACCATCAAATAATTAAAAAATTATTTCTTTCTCCCGTGAGCATAGATTACATTATATAGCAGAATACTGACCTGGTTTCCAAAAGAATTCATTTCTCATCAATTTATTTCAATTGTTATGTAATGCAATGTACGTTTATTTACATAATTTTGGTTGTTATGGTTAACAATGCTATGCATTTTTTCCAGGCATAAATTTGTGAATGTTTTAATATTTTATACAGTTTATTGACTATAGGTAAGATCACAATCTGCATTTTTGTATAATTTTTCTGTAATATTTGTTTATTTAATATAGGTCTATATATGAACATGATAATTTATTTTCAATGAATTTTATCAACATTTTAATAGCCATTTGTTTTTAATTGAATTTATTTTTAAACAAAATGTTTCAATGATTTTATCGTGTGGCAATGATAATTTTTAAATTATGTTTGTGTTTTTTATTTTACTGATATAATTTTAGCCTTTGGTTACTATTGTGTAAATTAATGTTCCATTTTGGAATAATTCCAAATTGATTATAATTTTATTCAGTGGCATTTAGGGATTGGAATTCATAAAAAATAAATTACAATACAGAAAATAGAAATATAGAGATTTGTAATCTGTATCACATTCAACCACAGGAAGCAATCATAGTATACAATGAAACAATGAAAAAAAGAGAGAAAAGGTCAAACCTCTATAAAACTAAATTTATCACTAAATGAGAAATTTAAAATAAAATTATGAGATTGTTTATCTTCTATTGTGTTCTGGCTAGCAACCACTTAAATTTGAGGTTCACATATTATAATCAATGAATGTGTTAGTTATGAATTGGATAATATGTAAATCATGTAAGAATATTACATGATAAATATTAAATAATCCTTGCTTATCTTAAAAAGTCTGGTATATTTTCATCTTACTAACTTATGTAGATCTGATCTTGTATTTAACCAGCATAATTATGTCAGTATATCGTCAAGAAAACAAAGAAATATTAACGCACATAAATACACCCCAATTCAGTGTCGCACACAAAATTACAAACATAGTTTCTTGCCTAAAACAATAAATGATTGGAATAATCTTCCATTTGAGGTCGTCCAGGCTAATGAAGTATCAATTTTCAGACCAGCTCTAGATAGGTATTATCAAAATTAAAGCAAGTTAAAAATAAAATTTTCTCAACTAATATGAAATACTCTTTAATAAACTTGAGCACACGTTGCACACAAGCAGCAAAACACATTGGACGAGAGTGCTGAAGTTACCAGCGACGTCCAATTAACAATTCTGAGATTCTGAGAATGGCTTGATATGATATGAAAAATCTCAAGGACGATCTAGACCTGCCTTCTAATACATTTTTATTGTACAGTAAATACTACATACAGTACTGTACACTCAATTTGTTTTCTTCTGAATAAAACTATACTTTTCTCGTCAGAATAAATGGCCTTTATAAATCCATTTTGATATTTCAAAAATAAAGTTTACACTACTATAAAATATGATGTGTCTGTATGCACACAGATATATCTGTCAAAATATTAAGTAAAATTCAATACAACTCCAACGCCACATTCATGAATTCATACTGAGTAACGTTTCTTGGGAAGCAGTTCATCTTTAGAAATGATCATCACAACATTTTATTACCCTAGTGACCTTTAAACCATTCAAATTGCAAATCTCAGAGCCACAAATGTTTTAAGAATAACTACCAGCCTAGTTTTTTTCCCTTTGCAGTATATGTAGTACAACAAATTCTTACCATTAACTACAAATTCTGTTGAGAATAATTTGACTGTAGATAATCATCTTTAAGGAATATTAACAGATGTTTAACCCTTTTTTCTACAGAAATTGCAGATATTCTATCATTTTACACTCTTAAATTGATAGCATGTCTTGTATAGATCTACATGGCAGCATACAGAGAATTCATTAAAAGGCTATCACTTTGTTGCATGAGAAACTATGCCCTGAAAGACCTCATCTTGAATATTGCCTATAGGGAGTAATCAGAACCTAAATCCACCTAAGGTTATTTTAACTTGCTTGATTGCTGGGGAAAGGCATTGTCGCTATGTTTTTGCCATACATTAACAAGACTACTCAAGAGATTCAAGCATGCCTTCGGTAAGAATGATAATGTACTGTACAGTAATAATGCATGTATTTATTTAACACTATTTCAGGGTACAGGGTACAGTAGTCCTATACATGCAATGTTGAGGGAGACCTCAACTAACAAGAACCCCATAACATAATGATCTGTATCTTCTCATTGCTAATTATTATAAGGCTGATTATGAAAATGTTTGCACTGATGATGATGATGACGATGACATTGATGACGACTATGATAATGACAAAGACAATGACGACGACAATGATGAGTATCAAGATGATGATAATGATGATCATGATTAAACAAATGATGATGATGACAATGACGATGATGAAAATATTGATCAAGATGATGATGATGAAAATAATGATAATGATTAAGAAAATACATGATGATAATGATGACGATAAGATTGGTTTACAGGTAGTACATACCTTTTCCTTTCTGAATATAAAACAAAGCTGTGAGCCAAAGCTGTTGATTAAACCTAGAATATGCCGGTGACCTGAGGGTGAATGGACCAGTCTACCAACAAACAGAGATTGCACAAGTTTAAAATTACAATATTACAGTATGTTAAATTCTCTTTAACAAATAACAGAAAAATAGTTAAATATACGCTATAATTAAATAGCTCTTTCAGTATATTTTACAAAGTTTCTATACCTACAATAGGTAATATTAAAAAAAAAAGATTATAGTAAAAAGCTAATGACTGGTGGAAAAGGACTAAAACTACTCTGCATATCCTTCTGCTGTGTCTATTATCATCTTCAGCATTCAACATGGATGAATTATCCAGAGAGAGCGAGATTTTATTTTTTTAACTCGATGACTGATAATATATTATTACGGTAGTTTTAGTGCTATAGTACTACAGCAAAAATAGCTAGACAGATAGTATAGGTAGGCCACAAAGAGACAAGGACAGGCCCTGCCCTCGTAAGTATGTGCACAGGTGTATATCTTGGGAGTGTTTCAGGCCCCTGTAATGTCTGTCTTCCTTACACGTATGTTACTGTAAACAGGAAGTGCTAATCTTATACACAGGTGTGCCTTCGTATGAACACAATACGCCTGCAGCAATAGCAGGGAACGCTTTCTAAATATTCCATAGTATGTGTCCATGTAAATATTTCGTATCATGTGAATTTAGTTGTATCTCGAGTGAATCACTGATGAATGAGACAGACAGAAAGGTAAAGCATCAGAAATGACATGATAACTCACAGCTATATTCACATTGTGTCCTACCAGCTTGGTTGCATTCGTACTGTCCATAGATTGCACACTAGGGCCTAGACCAAATAGGAAATGAATATATACATTACTGTATTTTGAAAACAATATGGTACATGTAAAAATATAATTCTCAATAACCTACACATCATCCCAATATACAACATGTCTTAGGTAGGCCACCGACAATATTGTACTGTACATACTGTATGTAAAAATACAATACTTGGTTCCAGAATAAAAAAAAAAAAAAAAAAAAAAAAGCCAAAACTTCACAATATTGCATGGTTCCATTTATTATAATTTGTAAGTTATAAAATTATAAAATGTCATGCCAAAACAATTTGTTATGACATTTAATGTGAACTTGAATATATCATCAATAATTACACAGCATTTACAATGTAAGAATAAACACTGCCCTCTATTGATATAACATAATGAATAAATAATAAGCAATTAAATATAACCTAACCTGCAATTCCTACAAGTACTGAAATTCCGAATGCGGCAAAGAAAGCAACAAAAACGAGAACAAATTCACGCTTTGTGAGTGTATACAGCCTCATTTGAACGGACCTGAAAAAGAAAACGTTTTTTTTCAAGAAAAATAACATTCCAAAATAGCGTATGGACATGTACTACTACTATATGAACTGAATTGCTTAATTTGTTTTAAGTTGTTAACTTTACAATTATCAATTGAAATGAGGAAAAAAATGATTCATTAATATGACCAAGTACAGTAAATATTACCTTTCCTGCATTCTTTTCAAGTATAGACCCTATTGGTTGGTAATCAATTTACTGATTTTGTAGTATAAAATGTCTGTAAGTCAGCTAATTTCTTTTGATCTGGTTCTAGTTGAAAGTCTTTTTAAAATGACCTAAATTTTATAGGTTTAATAACAAATTTTTTTTGTGCAGACAGTCAATACTGTTGATTAGGAAAGACTAACATCATTATGTGTGAATCTGAACACGAACAGAAAAAATGATAAATTGATGCAGTTCTAGAAATAGCAAAGTTGCAACAACTTGCAAAAACTAATTTGTATTGATCATGCATACCCCATACCTGCCAACCCCTGGGTCATGAAAATCTGGGAAAAAAAATTTTTAAATCTTAAATTTACCAAAAAATCTCAAGATTTCCAGAATTAAGCATAAGATGATGCGAGATACTAAAACATACACGTCAAGTCAAGACAAATCATTGGCCGTTGGTGGCGACACTTGAATAAAAAATGGCTGCTTGTTTATCACTTTGCCAAGCAAGCAGGCGGCGAATAGGGCCTACATTGAATATAAAATTTGTGCATAAATCGGAGTACTTTTCAGAGGACCTGTAAAATCAGTGCAATCAGGTGAAAATTACATTCGGGAGAACTGGAGATTTGTTTAAATATCGGGGGACACCCGACGAGTTGGCAGGTTTGCATAGCTTGTAATAATATTAAGTATAATACTGGTAAACAACAACTTGCGACATGGATAAGAATGGATTTAACTATTTAGTGGGGACAAATACACAATTAAATTAAAATATGTGAACAGCAATTTTAGGTGACTAGGCACTACGCCAGTGTTGACACACTGTGATTTGATTAGGCGCCCTCTATGGGCGGTCTCTTGATACTCCATCTTGGATTGATCGGACCGTTGTTTTGTTGGCTGTAATAAAGCTTTGTTGTACACTACTGCTAGTGTGTCCGATTGTAGTCTTTGTACTGTGGTTGTTTCTTTTCCCCACTGGCGCTACATGAATTTGGATCACTACAGTAATTCCATTCTTTAGTAAATAGTGTAAAAATAAAATTTTTAGGTAGGGGCCTATATATAGACTACGAATTAAAAGAGTAGGCCTAGTAGCCTAGAGTAAATGTGCATTCATTGGCACCTACACACATCGCAATCACATTAGGACAACTTCTTCTACTTATCTCACGATACACCATACCTTTATTTTAAACTCTACAATTTACAAACAATATACTAGACTAGGCCCTAATGTAGCCATCTATTACTACAGCCTGCCTTCATTTAAGGCTAAACATGCTATCTAAATGGATGGATGGCTCGGTCAGTTGGATCATGTGGGTGGATACCCACGACGGTTCATCATATTCATGACCATCCATGAATGATGGATGTCTAATGAATCGCACTTGATCAAGGGAGGCATAAATATAGGCCGAATTCTTTGCATAATGCAAGCAACTGAACTTTCAGTTTAGAATCAATTAGTGTTCGATCCTAGAGGCTTCTACTTAAAGGCTTAGACTAGGTTAGGCCTAGGTCCAGCCCACGCCCGGATAACGACTCCAGCTAGGCTAGCTAGCTAAGCCTACGTCGTACGGAGGGAAATTCACATTGTCTCTGCAGCCAGCCAGAGTTCATCTTCACACGTCACACAAAAACAAATTAGACAATAACTCCAATTCTTTTTACTCTTTTGGAGGGTTACTAATGTTGAATAAAAAATTCACTTACGCCTCCATTGAAAACATTTTAGCCATCTACATAGCATGTAAGAAAACTGATTTTATTTCAAATTATCTTCTGGTAGGCTATGAAGAGCACAAAAAAGTGCCAGATAAGCAATGATAATGGCGAAATGTTGATGATGGTGACGTCAGGACAATGCGCCCTCTTTTGTCAATTATTGAATTGGATTGGATTTATTCGGCGTAACACCAAGGATAACCCACGAAAGTCTAGAAGAAGACTTATTTCCAGTGGGGTCCTTCTGGTGGTGATTGGGCAGTACACCGGGAGACAATCCCCTACTCTTTTCCGAAGAGTGTACTGCGTTCTTTAACGTGCACATGGGCCATAATGCACACAGGACCAACGGCTTAAACGTCTCGTCCGAAAGACGGTGCGCTATGTAACTTGTATTTCAGCCCTCTAGCTGAAACACAAGGAGAGGCAGCGATGGGAATTGTCAATTATGGTAATTCATGATGATGATTTATACCTTCAGACCCACAAAAGTCATTTATGATCTATTGCACTTCTCTAAATATATATCAGTGATATGAAAAATGCCCAATCAATTAACCATCTATAGGCATAGATGTTATAAAGTACGGTAATTCTCAACTGCGCGTCTTAAACTAAGTGGTGAACCTTTCTATCATACAGTTATTTTTTGAGTCGTACTTACGGAGTCCTTCGAGGGATCTCTTCACCCACCGAACAAAACAATAGTGTTGTATAATGCCATCTTATTGAGTCAAATGGCGTATCTAATTTTTATTTATATAGTGTGCTTATAAAACAATATGTTTTTATCAGTAAACTTTAATGCCATAATAAGTGATCTATAATGTTTACGGTACAGTATTTATATTTTATAAAACCTGTTGTGGCAGTTTTCATCGCTGTTGGTTTTAGAATTAACAAAAAAAAAAAAAAAAAAAACAATAATAATCACAGTATATTCAGGATAAGTGTACATACTGTATTACTAATTTGAAATTACAATGGCTAGGCCTAATCCAGGATCTCCATTTATTTCCATTAAAAATTTCCAACGTAACAAATCTAGCACAGCAGTCTAAGTAAGATGTGTATAAGAGACAGGACTAACATCATTATGTGTGAATCTGAACACGAACAGAAAAAATGATAAATTGATGCAGTTCTAGAAATAGCAAAGTTGCAACAACTTATCATGATGCATCTCTCACAACGGCACACTAAGTCTGTGCTCATGAGCGGTTAAACTTATTATGAAAGGTAGTTTTTCGTCCATTAATTCACAAATATTCGAGCCCAAATAGTATAAGCTATTGAATGCATCGTCGATTGATTCAACAGTCAACAGTGACAATATGGCTATTTTATACATAAAATATTCAGAGGAAATTTGTGGAATCGTTCTATGTCACATTTCAAATTCTTTGCCGTAGTCCTATTCTCAGGAAAATTTACGGTGTATGACAGTAAATATGGCGCATATATAAAATGTTCACAGTCGGGTCAGTGTTAGTTTATAATGTTGGTACATGCAGTCAAAATTCAAGTGTCAGAGACATGGTTCGAAGCCTTACCCATCCCGACTTGGAGCTAACTGGCCATGTTCATGTTTTTACTTTTAGCATCGCTGTTTAGGAACATCAATAATAATTGCTTCCCGTACTTAACAGTTAAGGCTATATTCCGATCCGAGCATTGAATACTGGTTTTCGAAACTATCTATTGATCATGGAGTTAAATTATCTGTGGTCTTTGGCTCTACCCCGAGGATGGGACGCGTAAAAGCCGTTATCTGTGGAGTGGAGTTGGATTGGTGGTTAAGATGCTTGCCTTCCAATCCCAGGGTCTTGGGTTCAATTCCTGCTAGTTGCAGGATTTTTTCTCACGACATAAACAACTCCACTCCCTAAATCTCATATTGAGATTTAGTTTGTGTAAAGCATCGTGTGTGTATGTTTGTCTTGTGCAAGGGATTGTCACCTACAAGTAGGACAGTGATATATATTCGCTACTGGCAATCCTTGGCACATGTGTTGTGTGCCTAAAGAAAGAATAATAATAATAATAATCTGGAGACGTTTTAATTGATAATATTTACACTCTGTGCTTTCCGTGCCCGGCTTGGTGGCTTTGGGGCCATGGTCATGGCAGACCAAAATGATGAATATGAATATGAAGATGAATATACCGGGGCCTCTTAAAATCCAATATTATATTGAGGTGAACTTTTGCGGTTTTTCACAACTATTATCCAAGAAACAACACACCAAAAAAAAAAAAAAAAAAAAAAAAAAAAAATCAAACCGAAAAAAAAACACACACAACATTGTGATATTTTTTGTAAGTCATTATACATTCTTGTGGGTTGATACCATAATTATTACTGCGAACCAAATTAATTTGTGCAAATAGTTCCAAATCCATTTAGCTTCATAGCGCCCGTACGGTTCTCCTGAGCATTTGAATCTATATTATGCAATCATGTACAATGTATCTCCACTCCCTATGGAGTATTCCATTTCATGCTACTTAAACCTATCGTGCCAGTTTAACTTATTAGTACAGCAAGAGTGCTATGCCCAAGATACGTTTCGTGCTCTCAAACCCATAAAGTCCGAGGTTCAACCAACCTTTTGCACTTCGACCCCTTCGTTTATGTCCTTGGGTAGTTGGTAGGTTGAAACAGCGCAGTCCGCTGCAGTGGCGGATCCAAGAATTCGAATTGGCCATGGAGGGATAGATAGGGGCGGATCCAGTAGTGAACTTGACCACCCCCCCCCCCCCCGTTTTGCACTAGAATTTGAAATTTGCAATGCAAACCAATGTTGTGCTACTCACTTTATTCTGAGACTGTTGTGCCCACCCCCGTTTGAAAATTCTGGATCCTCACCTGGTAGAACCCCACCATAGTTGGGGCTGAGGTAAGAAAATGTATGATTATGGCACCTCTAGAGGGCCAGAAATGGCACACTCTCAGACTTACAATTTGAATAGAATTTTCGTTTTTTTTCTCCATATTTTTTAAATTTTTGAAAAATTTATGGGGGCCCGGGCCGGCTGCCATCGCCCGGGCCCCACCCTTTAATCCGCCACTGTGCTGATTAGCTGCAGTAAAGGGTCATCATTCCTGACAATGGCCCAATAAAGAGTCGGAATATTGAATACCAGCACGATGGAGTGTATTTCTTTCATGGAATGTGTATTATTCTATCGTACCTGGAGTTAAATGTGTGTAGAGGTGTTCGGTCCAGTGACGCTGGTAATGTGAAGCGATATATAGTCCTTCGCAAGATTCGTTAATAGATAGATTATTATAGGCCTATTATTTGAACGCTTGGTCTTTTTTCGATGGAAAGCATTGGAATTACTTCCTCGTATTCCAAAGGATATTGTGAGGTCTGCCTATGTGAATAAAGCCTCAAAAATCAAATTAAACATTAAGTATTTATTTAAGAGAAATGATAAAGTTTGACAAAAATTAAGTTTTCGCTGATTTACTCATGACCAGCCAAAATAAGAGATACAAAATATACGAATTGTTTTATGGGCCTGCCATTGGCAAGAAAAAAAAAATGGTCTTCTAATTTTTTTTTTGGAAAGCTTATATAGCTTCAAGTACAAACTTACAATTTAAATATTAATTTGTATTGCTCAAGATTTTTTAGCTGAACTCAGGCAGTATATACCTATACTGTATTGAAGCTAGCATAATTATTTTTTTTCTTAAATAAAATCGATAAAATAATATTATTGGTGTAATAAGATACAATTTGAAAGTATATCAAAACACGAACTCATCGATCGCTTCTCCTCGATTACTATTTTATTATTTTATGAGGAGCATTTCAATGCAGAGAATAAATTGATAGCAGTAAAATATTCCAAGCAGAAAGAGAAAAATGTCATCTCACGTTCCCATAGCGTTACGTTTTCTTATTTCGTAAAACCCTATATTTCTGTTTGGTTTTACAATAACACAAGATAGTAAGCTTTTTATAAGAATTTATGCACACTATAGGGCATATATCTGTCTCTTATACACATCTAGATGTGTATAAGAGACAGCAATTGCCAATGGATACAAAGCGCTTTGATATGCGGACTAGGGATTCGATTAATGACTTTCTTCTTCCCTAAGTGTCCCTTCGTGTCTTGCTAACCTGTGCAACTCTCGTCGTCCACAACAAGGGCCGTTTCTTCCTGTACCGGGTTCTTTAGTGAACACGAGCAAAAGTGTACACTCGGCCTACGGGTATTGTGGGAGCGGTTGGTTGCAGTCGGATTCTCAACGGGGTTCGAATCCAACAGTCCACGTCGTCTTAGTTATTTGCAAGGATTTTTCAGGTTTTCCTCTCTCCTCAGTGTAAGTGGGTACCTGGGGATGATTCGGTCTGGTGGTGCTAACATTACTAGGAATTCCTCTAGGAAGAAATCAGAATCGATCGCACATCATGTATGACATAATGAAGGTTGTATCCAGGTTAATCAGGGGGTACCGTATGGAGCGTTGCTGGCGTGCAGATACACAAGAATTTCATATCCTTGTAAGTTTGCGCTTCCCCAGCCTAATTTATTCCTCGTGCATGGGTCAAATTCACTAAAAATTTCATCCCCACCCACATTTCTCCCCACCCGTCCTTTTATGGAATTCGACCTACAGATCGTCGAACTATAAACGTTTTGGGGGAGAATCGTATTAACTGGGGACATAAATCCTTGAGAATCCGGCGCCACATTGATTATTATTTTGTTATTGGCAGTAGGGATAACAGAACATTCCCCCGTTATTACTTCCATAAACAACATAAAATAACAAAAATAACATAATCCTTTATTATATGAGCCATTTATGAAAAGTAAAGATATTGACAAATACTAACTAGGCCTCGTGTATGATTATAATTGATTGATCCGACACATGACAAACGTCAAGTATCCGTACCGGTACGTCAATTTGAGACGTCATCATTGTGAATATCATACTGATGCTCTTCAGTATCACTTTGGATCTTCACAATATGGGCACTAATGTGAAGCATTATTGGAACGACAAAGTCATACCGCAGTATTCATAATTTAGACCCACGCAATATTGGTGACGTAAAGACGTTTTTATTCAAATTGGCCTGAATTCACTAAAAGTGTCCGTATTTTAGTAAATTTAGACCTCGGACCAAATTCAGTAGGGACTTTGGCTCATGGGGATAAGTGTCTTGACGAAAAGCCTATAGATTTAAACTAAATGGAGAAATTTGGGAGGGCTGCCAATTATCTACATATCTACTTCTACACTTACTATTACTGCTGCCGTTGCAACAGCATCTTGGACAGCGCAGAATGTTCACATTTTTAACATGCATAAAGATCATATATTGATTTAAATGTGAGCCACCCAATGTATATAGTGAAAGGTTGCAGGGCCACCTTTTAAGTCCGGGTTAAGCTATGAATAATTAATACGCTATAACGGGATGTATCGATGGGTCCACCTGAGCATTGCGCAATTATCTGAGCCTCCGCTCTGAAACTGAAAAATTATAAATCACGTGATGAGCATTGTAATCACGTGATACAACATTTCTTTATAATATTTCTGTATTGTTTTATAATGATCAGACATATAATAACATCTTCGGTAAAGCGTTTGTTTAGTACTTGTTATTTAACACCTATTGATTTAAGATCGAAGGTAATCTAACTCACTCATATTATGCTGTTGCTAGGTTTGAGAGCTGTTTTAAAATGAATTGAGTTTTTGTTTACAGTTTTCTTACGATTTGAGTTTTTTTTTACAATTTGTACCTACATTTTTATATAACTTTGGCTTCCGGGAGTCATATTTATTATTTTAAAGCAGATCTTATAATTTTAAGATCATAAACCCATATAGCACAAGAGCCTTTAACACTGTCCGTTTGATTATTTTATTTGAATATTAATATATGAATATTTTCGGCCCCTAATGATTCAACATTTCAGAAAACACATACTAATGACCCGCCAAAAATGAATATTGTATGTGTTAATGATTATATTCAATAGACAACACTTAAGGAAATCCGAACTCGTTTACTCACCTATAAGAACGATCTAGATAATATACAGGAGCTATATAATCCTCAAAAGACGTTAAAAGGTTACTTATTTTTTTGCCTGCTTCTCGTAATTTTGTTTTCCAAGGCGGTGAATAATATGCATATCCTAAAGCCTCCATCTTATTACTAAAAGCTGCTCTTCAACAGCTTCCAGAATGCATTGTGTTGTTGTCTCTATACGGTACATTCGCAACCTCCACTCGTTATCCGGTGACACAGAGACAGAGAGTGAAAATCGATGCAAGAAGTACATTATTCAGCTAAGATTAATTGGAAAATTGACGGCCTCCGTGTTCTTAATGCGCATGCGCATTCCGATGCAGGCTTGATTACTATTGGTTTACGCTAAATGCCAACAAATCGTACACGAATTTGACGTGTTTTTTTTGTATTCTTTCTTGATTGGTGAACAAGAATCACCAAATTCAGTTTTATTACAGAAAATAACCCTAGTATGTGTAGTATTTTTTACATAAGACGGACGACTATATTATTATTATTATTATTATTATTATTATTATTATTATTATTATTATTATTATTATTATTATTATTATTATTATTATTATTATTATTATTATTATTATTATTATTATTATTATTATTATTATTAATAGGCCTAATAATAGTAATAATAATAAGTAAGTAATAACAACAATGGTAATAATAATAATAATTATTATTATTATGATAATAAACAATAAAAATAAGTAATACGTGAATTGTGTTTTTATGCTCTTGGCAAAAAAGAAAACATCAGCTTTTGTGTGGGTGATGGGCCAATTTCTCACGTATAGAATCTTATTTTGTTTAAACACTTCAGTTGTCGAATGCGATCTTTATTACGTCGTTTCACCAAAAAGCAAGTCAACACACAAAAACTCACGCGAGTGAACAAACTTCTGGTTCCGCTACTGCACCCCCCCCCCCACACACACACACTGTCACATCCAAAACGATACTACCTCTCAAACCTATCACAACTGTGTTATATACAACCATGGAAGTATCTATTATCATTCCATCATTTGATAATTAAAAGCGATCAAATGTAAATTTCGTGCATTATAAATTGTTCTACAGTTGATTTAATAAATATATTAGACAGTATCATAACTATGCGTATGGGATATGTACATAATAAATATCTATGACGTAAAATTAATTTTTTTTCTAAATGATTGATTAAGTCATAAATAAAAACAGTATATTAACAATAATATTAATAATGTACAAATGGAATGGGGATGGAAGTTTACAATATACGATTTATTCAAAAATAAATTGAATTTTTAGCGGGATTCAAGTGTTATATAACACTCCCTTATGCATTATAAACCGTACGGTATGTAAACATCACATTCCATCTATTTGTATTCATTTGCAAATCATTACCTATCATTCATCTATGATATTAATTTAATATGCTAATCACCGTCTACGGTATAGTTATCGTTGTGGTGATTAACATATTTATTTATTCTATAATAAGACTTATCATTATAGTGCATATGCAAATAATAGCTTTGTTTTCAAAGGTTTTATAGATGGATGGGCAAAGCAAATTTGATGTGTTTGGTGGCTTTAATGACAGCACAAATTTATTACAGGTGTGTGTACATATTTCTTGATAATATAGTTTTATTCCAAAATAATCCGTTCACCCATATTTTTGTTTAAATATTATAGCTCTGTACGAATAAAAAACAATGCATTAATGATAACATTAAAAGTACATCACACCGTGACATTATTATGTTAAAATTGCAAATTATAATATTACAGCACATACCAATCTTCTTATGACGTCAATTGTGCGTACCAATAGCACGTAGTGATAGCGCGTAACATTCTCCCTTTGATGGACTTTAGTCCGTACTTAGTGCGTACCAATACAGTGTGCTAATAGTGCGTGCTGATATTTTGTTTGACGTCAATCCGGATTCTATAAATGGGTTCTTATGTCTACGGTACCATGGCAACACGTCACCAGTCAATTAAGTCTTTCAACCCGACACAATGAAAATAATCGACGCGTTGTATGTAATTTACACAGATTTGGTCTGTTCTTTGTTATATATATTTTTTTCATAAAGTTATCAAGCTAATTTGAATAGTTACACGTTTTAATCAAGTTACTGATTTGCTTCAAAATAAATAAACAATAGTAACGCAAATCTCATGATGGCAAAACAATATAACATAGCTTACATTTAAACTATTGAACCATTCGACCTGTTAAAAAAAATGAGAAGGTGAAAGGGATAATAATGGCCTAATTAAGTAAGCCTATGTGAAACGGATGAGTTACGATTATTTTTTTAGTGATCAAAATCACTTTGAAATATGAAACATAACATCAATGGTTCAGCAGCAAAAAAAATGTTTATTAAAGAACATGCTGCGATGATATTATTAAAAGATGGTAATATAAATAATCATATTTTCAAAAAAAAAAAAAATTGCGTGTGACCTATTAAGGCCTACTGACAGCAGATTACCAAAATGACTTAAATTGTTATAACAAAGTCAATCAAGAATGGAATCTCATGAAAACATCTGATTGATCTCTTGACATACTGTCTCTTATACACATCTAGATGTGTATAAGAGACAGCTTATTGGACGGTTCATAATGCTCTCATAAAAATATAGGCCCTATTCTTGTCATTTGCATAGAACGCTTAAATATGCTTTAGTCTTAACATGTATTTCATCAACTAGAATTAGTGTATGCGTTTATGAAGCCAGATGAAATTTTTGAATTGATACAGCACTACCTTAGGCCTACTACATTTTTTAGCAATATAACATAGTTTATAATCTTTTTAAAAGCTAGTTAATTTCAGTCCTTATTGGATATCAACGACATCCAAAGGTGGCCAGTAACAATAAAATTCACATTCATTCATTCCCATTGAGATAGTATGTGACGTCAGACAGATTCGAGCTGTCTTTATGTTTCGACAATGTACGCGAGTCTTACAGCGCCCTCAACATTGTAAATTTTACTATCAAATGAGGAAAAAAAATAAAATAAGTCTAGTTTGACTTTCTCTACGCTTTAACGTGTGCCAGATTAGTTTTTTAAAAAAGAAATCCATACTAAATTAGTTTAATCGAGCATAATCTTAAAGACTTGCAAAATGCGCAACCCGAAACGGAGTCCAGTTATGGCGCACTCGCGTGGCATGCAACAAATAAACTGGCATCAATGAATTATTGTGATTGTATAGAGTTGTATTTATGTTTATGTAGCACCTTACAGAATCGACAGTAGACTGATTGTCATTCAGACTTGACCAAATATCGCATAAATTAAAAAAATATAAAGTTATATCATACTGTTCGCGTATAGTTATGTTAACGCTGTTGAGGATTGGCATCTCGCATGGCGTTCAATAAATAAAGTGGCATAAATGATTATTTTGATTGTATAGTTTTATTTATGTTTATATTGCACCTTACACTATCGACTGATTGTTATTTAGGACCAATATCGCATAAATATATAACGTTATATCGTTTGTTCTCATATATGGTAACCCTGTTTAGTGATCTCCAAAATTGTCTCAGTAGCCTCGGGTACTTATTGTATACTAGGTAGAACACACGGCATTCGGTGAGCCTCTTCTTTCGGATTCCCTCTCTGATGCATCAATGTGTTACATGGATTCAAGCAAACCCGAGAATTCTGTTTTGGTGTACCAAAAAACAATCCATTGGTGTCAAGGCGCGCCAAACGGTCCGATGCTGATGATCTAAGTCTAGTTGGAAAACCAAACATGGCACCAGAAATAGTATTGGAAGGCTTCTGGTACAAACTACTGTGTTTTTGAACAGGATAAGCAGCTGTTGAAAGGACAAAATATGAAAATGTTAAATCTACAATAACTAGGGAAACTGTGTGGTTGTTTTAAAATTAATTTAGGTACACCTATTGATAGGTAGTACAGTTTAGTAGCAGCAAGTGAGCGCAGCAGCAGTAGCAGTATCTCATAATGAAGCAGCCAAGTCTTCTGGAAATCAGGAAGGCCTCCCCACTCCCACAAGCACGTCATGAAATCTCCATGAAAAAGTAACCCATCTTCCGCAAATTCATAATATTTGCATGTTTTTAACTAGTTTTATCAGTTGTCTCACGGACGTCAGTACCGATGGGTGTCAACATGCGCAACAAATTAAAATTTAATTTAAGAAGAAAAAAGCTCATCTAGCCGATTTCCCGGAAGGGATTTCTTGCAACTAGGGACCTCTGGTGAAGTCAAATAATTTAAAATTAATACGAAAAAAAAAATCAGTACTCTAAAGCATGTTCGCCACTTGGCGAATTTCACATGCACATGCGCATTCACATTTCTTAGTTTTTGCTAGCGAAAAAATGCGCAACCAATCAGAACGCGAACCGACGCTTTGATTCGCGCGAATAAATTTGCCTAAGTGGCTCTAGGCGAATGTATTCGTGCAAATCGAAGGCGTCGGTTCGGTTCTTGAGCTCTGATTGGTTGCGCACTTTTTTCGCTTCTCAAAAAGTAGAAACATTTCGAACTTCCGATTTCGAAGCGAAAACCCCGATAGAAGTTTAAATGCGCATGCGCATAAACTGACGCTTTCGACTCCCGCGAATAAATTTGCAAGTGGAAAAAAGGTTTTACGGGACTTACATTTCCTGTGTAAATCTGAAAGTTGTGGCGATTCCTGATTCCTCCCAAAGTTGTATAATATGACGGGCTCAGTTTTTGACCGGCGCAGTCTACCCTCCTTCGGAAATGTAAGGGACGATTCTGCTGCGGTAAAAGTCTTAGCTCTCGTCCTGTATCTTAAAGAAACACCTTCTGGCATCATTCCGTACTTTTTATGTGCTAATTTACTATTGACAAAACAGTTTTGATCTTCGTTGTTGGATGACAGAGGTACACTGGAAGCATGGGACGCCGACCGCTGCAATCTAGAGGGTTTAAATGTTGTTCGTTGAAAATATGGAACTGTACGACAGAGACACTGTCGTGTTGCACAAGAATGTGACAAATTTTCTGAGAAAGATTCTGATAATCTCACTGACTCACCATATCGATCAGTGTCAGTTATATGTCTTGGTTGAGCTCCTGAAGTCCGATCTGTCGATTTCGATTGGCATGTTGTACTAATAATTGGCTTTGGCTTATCAATAGCCATCTCTTTAACCCTTTTACTTACTTTTGAATCATTATTATTTTCGTTTTTGTTATTGTTGAGATCAATTTTCTTTAAAAATTTGGTCATGTCTTCTACACTTTGTCCTGTCGGTGTCTCTTTTTGGTCGTCGGAAGTCCTATCATAATTCTTGGTTAATTTGGCTGAGATTTGTTTGTTGTCACAAATAGGGCCAATAGCATTGCGTTTGATCTCATTCGACTTTTTATTTATTTCATTTTTATCATCTACTTTCGTTTTCACCGAGCCACTACTTCGTCTCGTAAAGATCTTATGTCTGGAATTATTTGTAAGTTGTAGAATCGGGCCCGAGGTATTGCTACTAATGAAGGAGTCGACATATTGCATATGCGTGGCAGGTTTCTCTGGATAGCCCCATCCGTTAGCTAGTCTTTTCACCAAGAGATGGTACATAGCATGATCAGGAGTTGGATTATTTTCTATAACATTTTCAGTAACTTCCTTCTTGGTAAAATCCAGCTCTGCAATGTAGCTTACGACATTCTTGTTTAGATGGTCTTCAGTAAGTTTATTGGGATAGCAGCACGACCTCAAGCGGTGGGAGTATCCGCGATTTATCCAAGTGTGTTTCATCACGTCTCCCAGTTTAATTCGAACTGCTTCATCGGCTTTTAGTAATCGACTCAGAAGATCCTTACAATCTGGTGGAAAGAACATTAAATCAATCAGTACATAGGCAATTGATTCTAACAAAGCTTATTGAGATGAACGATTGAATTTATTCGATTTATTAAAAAAAAATTAGGCTAGACTTATGCTTATGCTGTCACGGTTAACGTGNCCGCCCCCTCATATTTTGATCGCGCCCCCCCCCCCCCCCCCCCCATTTTAATACTGCTAGATACGCCACTGTGTACGACGCACACATACAAGATAAAAATATAATTTGTGAACGAGAAAAAAAGAGTAATGTGCATCAGGAACGCCAATTAGGCCGGAGACAAGCCCCCAATTTTACAATTGTAGACGTTGCATGGTTGCACAGTCCTACTTTTTACTCAACAAGGTTCCACCACACCGTTACGTAATGTAACGTTTTTAGCTCAACAAAAGTCGATTGTTATGTGTCACGTGACTACGGTTCATACAATTATAATTATTTCTTTAATAAGAATAACAAAAACAGTATGTTTTTCTTCATTTTTGTGTGAGATATCACAGCTAGGGCCTCCATAGGCCTTGTCGTCTTAGACGTGATTGTACGCTTACCTTTGGTGAGATATTCCGGAATGTTGCAACCTTTAATTATTTTAGCGTGTAACTTGGTCATATTGGTAGGAGAGTCGACTGTGAATGGGAGCTCGCCTGTTAACATTGCGTACATATTAACACCTCTATAAATAAAAGATATATATAGGCCTATAATAAATTTATAAAAATACATAATAATTATAAGTTGTTATTTTATTGATACAGTTTTGACGATGTAGATAGGCATATTGGAAAAGTTTATGTTCATTTATTTGTTCTTTACACTAGGTTTCCTCTTCAGTAAAACGTTGCTGTTCTTCCAGAGGGCCAAGAACAACATATTTATATATAGTGTGGTTATCACTTTTAAATATTTATAATGATAATTAGAAGAAAAATAAAACAATACTTTATGATATCCAAAACTTATAAATGGTAATTAAACAGTTTCTGTAATTTAATTAATAAGCCGGTTGTTTATCTTATTTTTAAACATACTGTATACGTTAATTTTTTTTAGAATCCAACAATATCTATTTTTTATTCTACTTACATACTCCATACGTCTACTGCTGGACCATAACTTGTGCTACAAAAAATTTCAGGTGCTGCGTATGCCGGGGATCCACACTGGGTTCTAAGAAATCCGTCGGATCCCAAGACGTTGCTGAGTCCAAAATCTGATGAAATAAGAAAAGTATTGTACACTCAATTTTGAACGGCGTGATTCTTGGGTTACGAAACGCTGCTATATCATGTGAATACAAGGGCTGTCTTATTTAAGACAACTCGCCTATATTTATAGTTGTCTCAGGTATTATCTGAGACAACTATGTTATGTCCAATTCCAACAGTAACACTTTGCTAACTGAACAAAACTTCGTTTGCAGCCCTACAATAGACACTATACATACCAATGACTTTCAAGTTGTTATCTTCATCCAATAAGAAATTCTCAATTTTAATATCCCTGTCAAATGAAAATTAATCAATCAATCAATCAGTCACTTTAAATTTCTTTACTCATCTTACTCTTAATTTCTAAAGACATGAAAAAGCATATATCGATAATATACGCCTATATGCATACACACATAATATATATATATACACATATATATATATATATCATAAGTAGTTTATATTATATATATACATATATACATACATAACATACATACATATATATATATATATATTGTGTATGATGAAATAGATATATTGCATATGATGAAAACGTAAACGAGAAATGTGTTCTGTTAATAATAATATAATAATAATAATTATTATTATTATTATAACTTAATTTGGAATAACTAACTATTTAAAAAGAATGTGAAATCGAATTGAATATTGCAATAACTTTAGATATAGTTAATATAATCTTGTAATCGTAGTATATAACTTTCAAAATATTGTTAAGGTCTTCAAATAATGTTTTATGTCTTCTTGTAAATTTTGAATTATTTAATTTTATTAATAATAATTTTTATTGTTAAACCTGTAATGTATTTTTTTTCTCAGATACATAAATCTTTTGAGGTGCAACTTATTTAATTAATGACACAATTTATACTTGTAATCTTAATATTTAGGGTAGCAGTTTAAAAAAAATGTTTATTTCATTAAAGAATGTTTATTATAAGTTTTTTCTAAATGTTTAGTAATGTCTTTTGTATGACTTTTACGTTTCAATTGTTTTAATGAACATTTACCTTTTTGTACATGTATTCCTCGATTGAATAAATTGATTATTGAGTAGGAACATTATTATGCGTGTAAAAAGTATTAAAGGTAAAAGAAATGCAGTACCTATGAACTAATTCAGCTTTATGCATATATTCAACAGCCGAAACCAATTGCCTCATATATTTCCTTGTTTCTCGCTCTGACAGTTTCCTACGATCGCAGAGATACCGCATAAATTCCCCACCCTCAGCAAGTTCCATAACAAGGTAGTAGTTATTCTGCGTTTCCAATACTTCGTATAGTTGTGCGATGTTTACATGGTTGAGTTTCTGCAACATGGCGGCTTCTCGACGCAAGTTCTTTCGCACGTAGTCACGTTTCGCAATCAATTTCTTATCGATGATTTTTATAGCAACCTATAAAAATACAAGTTATGGTATTCTATTAATTCCTTAGATTAAAATGCTTATATTTAATTATTAATAGTTAACATATCGTAAAAGCTCGATTAGAATTTATCTAAGTATAACTTTAATGAAAATCATTTAAAAAAATTACAGTAGAGTATTTTCCAACGACAACATCTGAGAGAACATAAGTCTGTATCAAGGAGTGTATTAATCGGCATTAAATCACCTTAACTACTGAACTTCATCTCCGTTTCTTTGAAATCCATGTACAGTATATGTAGGTCTACTGTATTCTCTCGAAAATGCTATCTTGAAAGGCTTTTCGAAATGGCTTTCTTTAGATTACTTTAGGGGGAGGGGGCTGGGGCTTTATTTCGAGATGGACTTCTCGAGATTAAGCCCAACGGGTTATTACTCCTACGTGTCTTATTCGAAATATCTGAACTCTGACATTTCTAATCGATTGACGAGGCCGAATTTAATTTATCTAATACAACTACAATAAATTCGACTTTGAAAACGTAATAAATATTTCTCATGATAACGATTGTCATTAAGTTTCGTTTCATTAAAACAATCAAATTTAATTATCCAAATGATTATTCAAGGTGTCCATGTGAGACTTTGATCAATATTCTTATAATCGTCATCAACTTACTTAATTAATCTGATTGAATTTGTATTGATTAATAATTTAATAATATCTTTACGTCGTGTATATATTACTGCTATGTATATCAGATATTCATTCACTCAAAGTGCGATAAAATATAATTTTCAAATTCTCCAAGAGGCCTAACGCAGGTAGGTTTTCAAAGTTGTTGAGATATATCGACACTGTTGAAATCTCGATACTAGTGTTTTTAAAATAATGATGACATAGGCTAAGCTAAACAGTTTTCAATTGAAAATTAAAAAGAAAAAAAATGTTCACCCCAAAGAAATATAAATGATTATTAACGTTCATATATAATCCTTTGTAAGACTCTCACATTAACTTGTACTATTTAAAGGATTTTTGTAGTTTTCATTATTCAAAATGTAAAGTTCGTGTAGTGGGTCCAGGAATTCAAAATGGGTGAGGTGGGGGAGGGGGTAAAAAGTCAATTTTACAGATGGAAGACCCAGAAAACCTCACTATGGCTGGTGCTGAGTTACGAATATAATGTCTATGGCACTTGTAGAAGGCCAGAAGTGGCACTATCGGACTTAAATTTGATTGTTATCGCCCCCTTCCCCAATATTTTTAAATTTGAAAAATTTAGAGGGCCGGACCGGATGCTACACCCCTCCCACGCCTTCAATCCGCATGTGCATTTCTTTGGATTACACTTTTTCTTTTTAATAAGAACACATTTTATAAGAACACTGAGGCTGAAATTGCTTAAAAATTAAGAACAAAATAAGAACAAATTGAGGCTGAGGTAGAATGTCAAACTAGAAAAACCAAAAAAATTATATCTGTACCTTATGTGCAGTAGGTACTATATAATACAGTACAGTAGGTGTACCTACCTCCCATTTGGGGCAATTTTTTAACCGGGGCCATTTTTTATGGGCCTTTCATTCAGGGGCCATTTTTGCGGGGCCGCTTTCACCTCCCAGTACAGTGTATACTGCTGTACAATAATAATTTTCTATGTTTGAAAAGTGTGTAAAATAAGAACAAAATAAGAACATTTTGAGCCTGAAATCTGTCAAAAAAATAAGAAAATTGAGCCTGGGCATAATTTTACTGGTTCTTACAAAAAAAAAGTGTATTGGTTTTAAACAAAGCTGTTACATAATTCAAATTTTTCGCAAGCGTGGATATAAATTAACACTAAATGAAATTATGCCATCTGAAAGAATGCAACCAGTGACAAGATCGTGTCAATGTGCTGAACCGTCGCTGTACTCGCAGTGTTAAAATCAATGGTAACGCTGTCTGTACAAAGCTTCTACAAGTTGTAAATCCATGACGAGTCTTTGTATACTAGTCCCAGTTGACGATAATCCAGGCGATCTTTAGTTAGTCATGCATGCATTTCGATCGCTCACTCGTTATTATTTGGCCTAATATTTTGTTTAAATAAAACCTTATATGCTGAGCATTCGTCAAAGTTTCCACAGTGAAGTTTTAATGTGCGCATCATCTCTAATTCTTTGTCACCGGTTTTAAAATAGTAAAGAAATACTGCTTTATTTCCCTTGGACTTTCTAATCTTAAGTAAAGCCGAATTTCCAATAAAGAGGTTTTTCGTGTTGAAAAACGTCACCCACAAAAGCCGAGCACAGGTCGTTATCTGCCAACATTTTTTGTAGAAAATAATAATATGTAGGTTTTGTTTTAGGTTGCCTAGGTTTGAATTTTAGATAGCACTCTACATAACTAAGGCTTAGAGAGTACTTTTCCACATTATTACTCCAGTCATTGGAACGATGCCTGGGGGAAATTCCATAGTTTCCTTCCTGTATGAAATATACCAGCGCATTTTGTAGCTCGAACCCCCTTAGGTAACCACTCCTGGGTGGAGGCAAGCAATGTACGCTCAAGGACACAAGCGAAATGCACAGCGAGGGATTTAAACCCCGACATCAAGATTGGGAAACCAAACCGTTCCCGAGCTGCGCCAAACCGCTTCCACCTTCATCAATATTATCATCGTCTTCAGCATTATTATTATTATCATAATCATCATCACCACTACTATCACCATTATCATCGTCGTCGTCGTCATCATCATCATCGTCGTCGTCGTCATCATCATCATCATAGTTATCATCATCGCCACGTCTATATCTGACGTTCTGGCGTGTATGTGTGCCTCGCCCGAAGAAGAAACATTATTGTTTTTGCCGCAGCCTCATAATATTAACTCTTTGGTTTGTACGGTTTATTCTCTGAGTGTTTATTTTCTGAAAAATGCTGATCATGTATTTTTTTTATCATTCCGATTCAAATAGAAAGGCAATTAATTGTAATTATGGACATTGACATCACGTATTATGCATTTACTCAACGTTTACGATGTCTATAATACAATGCAGTACGTGACAAGTCAAACGCTATTCTATTCTGAGTAGGTCTATATTAATAATAGTCAGCGAAGAAGGTGAACACACAATAGGTCTATTAAACCATATTAGCCAGGACCTAAATTGAAAACTACCCTGCGTATGTTAATAATGACCAATGAGGATTGTGAAACATACCAACATTGTGTTGACATCATTTTATGTTTTGTTTGTCTCATGAACATCCGCCACCGTAAAACGCGAGATAGCGTGCAAGAGAACGTACAAACTCCACTCTAGCGACACTCAAGAATACAAATAATGCAATTTGTAGCACGTCACGTATCAAATAAATAACTGAGCCAAGTAACTGGTTGTTCGTTGAATTTTCTACCATTTCTATATAAACATTGCTGATATAAAGTAAACGCAATTATCCGATTAGTATTTCAGGTATTGTACATTATTGTAATGTATACTGCTACAAACAAAAAGCAGCTATATTGAGTCATTTCACATTCAGACGGATACGGGTATAAATATATTCCTGGTATGTCAAGTAACTGGTAATTTTAAGAGGGTACTCAAGCCAATCGGCAATCTTTTACGTTGGATACTTCTCAGTCTATGAGTAATTAACTAAGGGTTGAGAGGGGGAGGGGAGGGGTGCTATTATAAGGAAAGTAATGAGCCACTACTCTGGGTATGAAGTGATGTCTTAGCCCTTGTCATCGCCACACATTCTAAACTACTGTATGTATTTTGCTCAGCAAGCATTTCAATGGAAGGGGGGCGCTAGGTGAGGGGGAAAATTTTGGAGTGCCTGCAAACAATCATCTGGAGTATATATTATTAACCCATCACAAAAAACCATATATAAGTAACAGAGATATCAAATTTTAATTTGAAAATTAATTGACTTGTGAAAATGCACAAATGTTTAGGCCTATTTTTTTTTTTTTTTTTTTTTTTTTTTTTTTATTGTTTTATGAGGTTTCCCAATTTTATAACAAATTCTTTAATCAAGGGAGCCTATTGAGGCGCCAAGATGTTAGTGTTGTTGTTTTCTCTTTCTAAAATATCCAGTCTGCCGTTGAAAAGCCTATACAATTTAATTGTATGTCTATATGTATGAATTGATAATGTGCTATAGATACACGCCTCATAGATTATTGATTTATGTGCACGTCTATCTGTCCATAAAAATATGTCACTTTCTGTGGCATCATTCATCACTTTGAATTCGTACATTTGCACATGGAACGAATCGTTAACTTGTAATAATTTAATGAGCAACTAGAACGCATTGACTTATTGTACGTCAGCACATGTCCAGCTAACAATTTTATGTTAATAATAACATTGCAGTTTGGTATTTGTTTTAGAAAGTAAATTTCGACTAAATAACGTTGCTGTGACGTTGTGTAAACGTTATCATCTGAATCGCAATGTTCATAATTTCGCGTCATGTAGACGCATCGTCGCGTCATACTGTAGGCGCATCGTCCACTTGAAATTGAATTAACCACAATGAGCATGTTGATTTATAATTATGTTGTTAAATTTTCACTTTGATGTATTGCAGCCGGGGACGGAAATGCACTAAAGACACAATATCGATACTGAACTTTAAAAAAAAAATATTGTTGCCATTGCAACAGACATGCACACCTGCCGATGTCTAATCTCACCTGTATGGAGACTTGTCATTTACAAACAATAAGAGTGAAAATTGTTTTACTACAGGTCTACTTATAGGCATTTGATTTTTTTAAAATTTAATATGCATGTAAATACTGCAGAATAATGTAATTGTTGCATCTGAATGTAATTGGTCCAAGTCTTCATTTCAAAGCTAAAAAAGTGTAAGTAAATTGTTGAACTTATCAAATACCTGTCTCTTATACACATCTAGATGTGTATAAGAGACAGACTCAAGAATACAAATAATGCAATT